GGCTGTGTAGGATTGCGCATATCTGGGTTTCGGAAGTGATATGGTCGAACTTTTGTCCACCACGTCTCGGCGCGTGAGCTCTTTCACGAAGTAGGTATCTACTGGCTAGCGCGAGTTGTGGGAGCACATGCAGCACACTTGGAGCATCGGCATCCTGGCCCCCAGCAGTGACGACACCCCAACCCTTAACCCCGACACCGTGACCCTGCAGCATCTAAGCCCAGTAAAAAGAACGCTGCGCATACGATTGCGACTTCAGACCAAAATCTCCCAAAATCCTCAAACCTTGAATCCCCATCCACCCCATAGAAAGGAAGGGCCCAGCTCATGGAAGCTTGATCATCTTCATGTTCGGATTGCGTCTTGAACTTGACCATGCCTGGCTCAGGGGGCTCGGGGTCGCCAAGTTCTGGCAGGGCAGGGAAGGGCGATATATGGGAGGTCCCGAAACAAGGGGTACCTTAAAAGGGATCCATAAGGCCATAAGGGTTCCTTAAAGGGATCTATAAGGGTTCTATGAAGGGTTTAGGGTTTTGGAATTTTCCGAAAACAGGGGTACCTTATTTTAGGGTCTTTATAATTAGGATCCTACTATTTTGGGTACTCTGTTAGGATCCCCTCTTTTCGGAAACCCCCATATTTGGCAATCACAGCACAGACAGCGGAAGGAACACTGACAAGCCCTAGACCCCAAAGCCTACCTTTAAACATCCCAAGACGTCATCACGAAACTTAACCCCTATAATATTCCCGAAAGCCCTCGGCCGTAAACCCTACTTACCCTAAACCCCTAGATTCAATCCCGATCCCCGGGGCAAAGGGAGCCCAAAGAGCTGAAATAGGGGCCTTGATCAGCAATTAGAGCCGGGGCTTTGGCGCACAGCCTATGTCTACAAATGATACTCAGAAGACAAACCCACAGGATCCTGGTATATCCCCCTACGGTGAGCCCCTGAACCCAGAAGTCCGAGTGCCCAGCCACTGGGGCGGAGCGACTCGGATGGCATCACCTGTGAGGTACACACGGACTCGACCTGATTTTTGTATGCAGCTTGATAAGCCAGCTCATGCAGTACCCGGTAGACAATGCAGGTATGCAAGCAGATGCCCAGCAGGCAGACTCAAAGCTGTAGCAGCCCTAAACCCCTAAACCCTAAACTCCTAAACCCGGAAACCCTCAACTCTTTGGGCCCGCAGGCATGTGCACACGGCTGTAGCAAAAGAAGCCTAAACGCCGCAGCCCAAAAAGGACGAAGACCCGAAATCTCTAAGAGAGCGGCCTCCAGCAACTCGCCCTCGGCCTGCATGAGGTTACTTCTTCGAGGGTTGCTTTTGGATTTACGGGCTGGAGGCTTAGGGTTTAGGGATTCAAAGTGTTCTTCTTGAGAGGCCAGCCATGTCCGACTTTTCCATGACCGGATCGCACTCAGCAGCTCTGATGCCAACTTTAAGACATGTAGCCAGTGCAGAAAAAACACCTCCGAGATTCATGATGCTGCAACGCCCAGCGCTGCTACTGGTGAGTGCTGCTCTGGCTCCTTGCGTGTGGTGAACTCTGCTATAGGTTGTGCTCCTTCCCAGAAACGCCTGTGGTGACGACTGCCGACGCCAGCGGTTTTGCCACGGCTGCGCTGACGGGTCCTGGCACACAAGTCTCGGAGTCAGCAAAGAAGCCGCTAACCTTCGGGCACCCTGCCGAGACCTGACACTTTCCGAAAACCTACCATAGCAGACTTGACTGCTCTGGGGCCCTATGTACTATACTACTTAACAATACGGAACCACCAAAATGGTAGTAGCAATTATTTAGGCCCCTATAGCAGACACCCCTGTCTGCGGGGCCGATCCACCACTTGCCCTGCTGGGCCTTCTCGGACTCCCCGACTGCGTCATCTTCCTGTGCAGAGTGCATCCTAGCTGGTTATGTCCTTGTATGTGCACCGTGACGGTGATCATTGGCCGTGGGTGTGGAAGCTGCCAGAGCACATGGAGCTACATGGGAGTTTGCGACAATTGGGGGGGCACCTTATTATGGGGTCCTTACCATAAGGATCCTACTATTTGGGGTCCTATACTAGGGCCCCCTATTTTCAGAAACTCCCACATAGTACGCTGTGAAACCTGGTCGTTGAAAGGAAGCTTGATACTGCGGCACGGTCATCATATCAGCATAACGGCTGATGCTCCTCCTCGCAATTCTTAACACGACTACAACTGCGGTCAAGACTACGTCTGCTGGGTGTTGCGATGTATATAACGGCCGTGGTGAGAAAAGTGTTGAAACTATGCATATCCGGCATATCCCATGGCCTCCATAGTGCCACTGCTGGCTAGTGCTTGTTGTTATGATGGGAGCGGGCTGGTGCTGTCTTTCAAACACCCTGGGAATGTGCCTTCCCTGATGCTACTGATGCTGCCGATGATGATGGCCACCATCATCATCATGAAGACACAGATGATGGCTCCATCTGTAGTCTTGTCGAACCCAAAACCCTTCGCGCCTGGAACCCGAAGTCGTAAATCACCCCAAGCCCCACCCTTAAGCCCATAAACCCTAACCCGTAAACCCCAAACCCTAAACCCCAAACGCCGAAGCCCTTAAACCCGAACCCCCTAAGCCCTAAACCCGCAAGTCCCCTAAGCCCTGTAAACCCGACTTGTAAGCACCAAACGCTTCCCACGACCGGGCCTGTGGAGGAGGCACGCCCTCTTCCAACTCCTCCTCGGGCCCGGTGGGCCTCAGAGGCTTTTGCATCTTGGACGATCTGAGGCTCCGGGGTTTAAGGCTCAGGGTTCGGGTTTAGGGGCGATTTAGGTTTAGGGGCTATTTAGGTTTAGGGTTTAGGGGCGATTTAGGTTTAGGGGCTATTTAGGTTTAGGGTTTAGGGGCTATTTAGGTTTCGGGTTTAGGGGCGATTTAGGTTTAGGGGCTATTTAGGTTTAGGGTTTAGGGGCTATTTAGGTTTCGGGTTTAGGGGCGATTTAGGTTTAGGGGCTATTTAGGTTTAGGGTTTAGGGGCTATTTAGGTTTAGGGTTTAGGGGCGATTTAGGTTTAGGGGCTATTTAGGTTTAGGGTTTAGGGGCTATTTAGGTTTCGGGTTTAGGGGCGATTTAGGTTTAGGGGCTATTTAGGTTTAGGGTTTAGGGGCTATTTAGGTTTCGGGTTTAGGGGCGGGTTTAGGGGCTATTTAGGTTTAGGGGCTATTTAGGTTTAGGGTTTAGGGGCTATTTAGGTTTAGGGTTTAGGGGCGATTTAGGTTTAGGGGCTATTTAGGTTTAGGGTTTAGGGGCTATTTAGGTTTCGGGTTTAGGGGCGATTTAGGTTTAGGGGCTATTTAGGTTTAGGGTTTAGGGGCTATTTAGGTTTCGGGTTTAGGGGCGATTTAGGTTTAGGGGCTATTTAGGTTTAGGGTTTAGGGGCTATTTAGGTTTCGGGTTTAGGGGCGATTTAGGTTTAGGGGCTATTTAGGTTTAGGGTTTAGGGGCTATTTAGGTTTAGGGTTTAGGGGCGATTTAGGTTTAGGGGCTATTTAGGTTTAGGGTTTAGGGGGCTATTTAGGTTTAGGGGCTATTTAGGTTTAGGGTTTAGGGGCTATTTAGGTTTAGGGGCTATTTAGGTTTAGGGTTTAGGGGGCTATTTAGGTTTAGGGTTTTTGAAGCTTTGGCTCTAGGGGTTGACGGGGTGAGGCTTTAGGGACTGAGGGGTTTAGGGTTTCGGCAAGCTGCTGAGCCGTGAAATGAAGGTCTCACCCACATCTGGTGCTCAGGCACTCGGAGTTGAGCTCGCAGATAAGGCAAAGGCATGTCTCGCTACACTCGTTGGAGGAGTTACAAAAATTCTTGGGACACGATTGGCATACTATGCAAAAACTATCAAAAGGCTTGGGATGGCTCCAAATTGGCTGAGCATTTTGCTTGCCCTGCACGTCTTGGAGTAGGGACTTTCTATACTGTCGTGGAGCAAAGCCGACTGTCCAGGGCTTTGGTATGCCTGGTTCTGTAGGGTTGGATCCTCGTGAACATAGTGAATTCCATTGCGCGTGGCGGACGCTGAAACCTTTCCAACAAAAAGGCTGAGCGCCTCGCACAATGCTGGAGATGCTTTCAAGCTCCCCCTGCAGCGCAAAAATCGCAAGTGGAATAACTGAAAGTTACTAACTCATCAATGATTACGGTTCGGGGGTACTACTCTGTCGGAAACTCCTGTTTACGCAAGTCCTGCATCTTGTGTCCTGGAATGAACTACAGTAGCTACACTGTATGTTTCGGCTGCATGCAGAACCCTCACACGTGCCTCGCGCAAGGTCACCATACCCTGACAAGTTTGCTTTCCATGATGCTAAGGGCCCTAATCGTGAAAACACTACTGGTAGCAAGGCAAGATGACAAGAAAACACTGGCTGTCTGTGGAAACAAGCATTTGAACTGCATCACGATCATCATTCTGATTGTTGTCATAGTCGTAACTGATCATCACCGTGATCACCATCATCATCGTCATCCACAACAACATCGACATCTGTTTTTTCATCACCATCCTCATGATCCGGATCCTGATCCTGATCTGCTCCTCACCATAATCATCATCGTTGGACTTCCAAATACTCGCAGCTGTTTTGCTCGCTATGCATCCCTCGCCAGGTCTGCACACAGCTCTAAAGCTGGTTCGCAAGCCCCTGGGATGTAGCCCAGGGCCTAAAGGTCTGGGCCAGCAACGCAAATGTCAGGTTGGAGAATTCGCGCCCGACGAGTCTTTGTGGCTAGCGATCATGACGGTCGGAGATCCTACCGTCCAAATACTTCGTTCGAGGCCTTCTCCTGTCTGTTGTAGCCAGGCCAGGGTCTGCAAGTGCCAAAATCAGCAGAAGAGTTCAGCCGCTGCAACGACGAGTGCCACGCCTGAGCCTGCTCTGGTTCTGATCCAGCTGGAACACTTCGGAACTTCTGATGACCCAGGACGAGATGAAGCGGATGGGGGACACGATCTGCGGCGCCAGCCCTATCTCGCAAAGAGGTACCGCATGTTCTCCCGGGCACTGTCCATGACACCTGAGGAGACGAGATTTCGTCTTAGGGCTCAGGGGGACAACCCCTGAAGATTCTTTGTTTGCGAAGGGCCAGCTGGGCAAACGTCCAGATTCCACGTATTGTTGGTCATAGATGATCACTTTCACGCTGCCTCATGCCACACTATGCCTTTAGACCATATATCACAGAATCCGTACTGAATACTGAAGACAACAAACTAGATGTTCTCTGTGCTAAACTACGTAATTTGGACGGTTTTCGATCTACTTGCTTTACATACTCCTAGATTTGTTGCTACTTACTGTTACTAGCGACTGAATGCTAAATCGTACATACTAGACTATAAACTATATACAGTACTGCGTACTATGTATTACATAATACTGTACAAACTACATACTCATGCTACGTACTACTATATACCGGATACTACATAGCATGGACTCAACCAGGCTTTGCGAGAAGCTTCAGAGGTTTCGCGACCTGATGCTGGAGGAACTTGCAGAGGCCCTCAAGGGGATTTGTGGGTAATATAGGGGCCTTAATAATTAGAATAAGGTTTTGGGGCCCATCGTACTATAATTATAATAAGGAACCCCCACAATACTATTGGTAATTGTTAAGGCCCCTATATTAACTGTCATCATCATAGTCCCTTCAAGGAGCGTGTATAATTCTTCGCTTAATACGGCACCCTAAAGTTAGGGAACCCAAAGTGGCGCTGGTTTTGACATCCACCCAAGCATAGCACGGCGTAGCGTAGTATCGCAAATACATAGGATAGGATAGGACGGGATAGGATAGGATAGTATTCCATGCTATCCATGCCAAAACCTTAAACTACACAACTTGAACCTTGCGCTCTTCTTAATCAGGCTTCCTCCCAAGATGGTGTCCTGACAGCGACGGTGCCCTGCCGTGCCCTGCCGGCTTAGCTTAGCTAGGCTCGGCTAAGCCCGGCTGCCTTACACGACATGCCAGATCTAAACAAAGGACGAAGAGCCCTAAACCTCTAAAAAATTAAGCCCATGAACCCTAAAACAAAGACTCACAACTCAAAGCCACACCCGGCCAAGGCGCCGAAGTCGCAAGCAGCCTCGGGATCCCCGACGCAGCGGTGCGCGCAGCTACGGGGGAGGCCCGGCCTAGGCGTGAGAGAAAGTGGAGGGCATGATGGAAGGGGGTGTAGGGTTTAGGGATTTAGGGTTTAGGGGTTTTGGGTTTCCCAAAGGGGTTTTGGAAGGACTTCTAAAGGTGTTATAAGGGTATCTTCAAGATTCTTAAACAGGGTCTTGCAAGGGCTGTAGTACACATTGCACTAACGGTTTCGCAAATTTGACGAGTCCACGCCAAACCAGCCGGGTTTGTAGCGAATGTTCTTGACTGGATGTCTATGTATAAGTATCCTTGAATCCTCAACCCCGAAACCATCCACCCCCGAACCCTCAAGCACTTTGATCTTGGATTTTGCGCTGGGGCTTCAGCAATCTTGGGCTTTGAAGGAAAAACGTTCGAGGCTTTGGCTTTGGGCCATTCGGGTCTCCAGGGACTTTCAGCCCAAGGTCCAACTTACCATTGGTTAGTAGGGAATGGAAGAATGGTAGTAATAGTAGCTATAATTATACCCCATTCCTCCATTCCCTACTAACCAAAGGCAAGCCAATGCCTACTGTATTCCAACACAAGCTCGGCGAGGTTTAGCTTCATGAGATGGCGTTTTCTCGTCTCAGGTGTTTGAGGCCTTGAAAGGGTCGAGGCGTAATTTCCGACGAGCATTCGACAGGCCCCGTCACAAAAAATCCAGATCCTCGTCTCCCTGCTCAGGCTGCGGCCAAATCTCCACAATCAGGACCTCGCAGCACACAAAAGCCGCGCCAATCAATGGGAAAGGATTGCATCTCCAAACGCGCTAGTCCCCTTCAGGCGGTTCGGTCACGTTTCTCATTCTCAAGTCCCTGTTGAGCGATTTGCTAGTGAAGTGCTTCTCCCATGCTGTCTTTCGCTTCGATCGGTTTCCTCCATTTTCTGAGATGCTATGTTTCGAACGGTTTCCTCTGGTTGCTCAATGGCCCTGGTCCGGAATGGCGCGATCTGCATCCGAGTTGCAGATCGACGGCCACTTGTGATCTGTCCCACGCTGTGCCTGGGAGGAAGCGGCGAATCCAATCCGTGAAGCTTAGGGCTTAGGGTGTAGTTTTCGGGCTTTAACGTTGGGACTGGCGATTTAGGGAACTGGTGTTGAAATAGTGGGATTTGGTTGTCTCGAACCGGGTTTATGGTCTGTGGCTTCGCGCTGCTCTTGCGCAGCCGAAGGCTCGCTTTTTAAGATGCTGAAAGTCCCAAGCCCGAGGTCTCCTTCGTGCAACACCCACTGCCGGCAACTAAAGACCAAACCCGTAGATACCCCGCTCGTTCTGCACCCAAACGCCGTCCTTAGCTTGGATTTGTCACTTCTAGGGTTCCCCCAACTCTCCCGCCTTGTCCTGTCAAATCAGGTCGTCAACATTTGGCTAGTAGTATGCAAACTCTCGGGTTGGTTTGGGACTTGCTTGGAACCGTCTCCTTGCCGCGGTACGGCTTGTGGGACGGGAAGACGATGGCGTCTCCCCGGTGGAAATCGTGCTCCCTGCGAAGCACGTACACAGCAAAGTTTCAGGCATGTGGTCGAACCCGGACTTAGTTTGGCTTTGAGTCAACATAATTTGTTATGTGTGTACGAACATGCTGTTTGCGCGGCACTCCACATGTGATGCTCCGACACAACACCTCAAGCCCCTGATCGTGAATCGAATCCGGGGCCACTGGTTTCCCAGAACCCGTGAAACCTGTTTCAAGCCCGAAAACCGAAGCTTAGATTTAAACTGGTTGAGTAATGCTGACCGCTGCATTGGACTTAGGACGAGGACATCAAGACCGACAGGTAGCACGCATGTATACATACATACATACATACATACATACATACATACATACATACATATATATATGTATAGGTATGCATACACACACACATATGTTTCATTTTCAGAAACGGGATGCTGATATGACTTATATGCAAAAAGGACTGTGTTTGAAAGCCTGTCTGTCTTTCCAGTTGTCCTTCCGTCTGTCCGTCTGTCCGTCTGTCCGTCGGTCCGTCCGTCCGTCCGTCCGTCCGTCGGTCCGTCTGTTTGTCGGTCTGTCTGTCTGTCTGTCTGTCTGTCTGTCTGTCTGTCTGTATATTCTGCCTGTGTGTATGTCTGTGTTTTCGTCTTCGTCTTTGTGTTTGACTGTGTCTTTGTCCTTGTATTCGTCTTTGTCTTTGACGGCGTCTTTGTCTTTATCTTCGTCTCTGTGTTTGACAATGTCTCTGTCTACGTCTATGTCTCTGTCTGTGGCTGTTTGTATCCGTCCGTCTCTGGCTGTCTGTCTGTCTATCTGCATGTATGCGTATATCCATGCATGCATGCACACACGCGAGCGGCGATCAATGCTCCTTCATCTGGATAACCAATGTAAGCATTATACGCATGTACTGTATTTAATGATTTTAATGCATGTATGTACGGGAAGTACGGTATGTACGGAAGTAAGTAATTATGCATGTACATTCGGTAAACAAGCAGGTAAGTAATGTAGGCAAGTGGGTAAGTAACCAGTACAGTAGGTAGGTCGCTAGGGAGGCAGGCAAGTAGGATTAGGTAGGCACGGTATGCCGGTGCGGTATGTACCAGGAAGCACGTGTTTCTAGCACCAAAGATTAGAAACTGGCTTTCGAAAATACCACCGATATGACCAATAGTAATAAGGGGTCCACCCCGCTCGGTTAAGATCATATATCTATCACGGGAATGCCAGAAGAAGAGCTCTGTGGGCGAGAAAACAAGCTAATTGCAGCGGTATGTATATTTATACAAATGTATATATATATATATATATGTGAGGTTTGAGGCCGAAAACTGGCCCATGCGTTTTCGCTATTTTACCTTCGTTCATGAAAACCAGAGGAACAGACTGCACTCAATGACAATAGCCCAAAACCAAAAAAACCAAGAAAACCAAAACCGTAAAACTAAAAAGAACAAAACCAAAAAAAACAAAAAAAACAAAACCAAAAAAAAAATACAAAAAAAAAACAATATTCAGAAAGTCTTGGTGTATAGTCCTGGATAACATTCCAGAAGACTTTCAGAAAATTAGTTTTTTTTGTTTTTTTTGTTTTTTTGGTTTTAGTTTTTTTGGTTTCATGGTTTTGGTTTTCTACCACAAACCATTGTTATTGTAAGCCGCGTTGCCCTGCAGGGTTGTGGCCTTGTCAAAGCGCAAAATAGCAAGACAAATCTTGCCATGCCGAGTCTTGTGAACGAGGAAGGCATTCATGCCGTACACAGTTTGTGATTCGTGGCGTTCCGTACTCAAGCGTAGTTCTATTTTCCGGTGACTCATATCTGCATAGCACTCGCGATTCATGACGAGCTTCCGGTGGCCTCCCCAATACCTATTAAATTATCTTGGTTGGAAAGGACTGTAGCGATAAAGAATGAAACTAACGTGCAATCTCTAACCAACTGAGCTAGTATTTTTCCAACCACTACATTGAGGGATCTCCTGAGTCTTGTACTCTACTACGCTTAAATATTAGAAACCGCTGAGATGCAATGGTGTAAACCTTCACATAATATCACTAGAACACAACTACCATGAACAACTTATATAACCTAACTTGTATTAACTACTGCACACAGCTTACCTAAACCATTCATGCCAATACCCATGGCCCATAGCTGTTCATCTAGTGTTAGTAAGTCATTTTAACACTGCACCTGACAATACATATAATAGTCCTAATAGAGTAGCATTGGATGTACTAGTAATAAGACATAATGAAAAAGTGCAACGACAGAGCTGATATAGCTAAACTATAGACAGTAAGACTAAGATTGATACCATAAGTTGCGAATGAGAACAGTGAAATCCTATCATGGTGGATATAGAGTCCAATCTGTACCAGTATAAGTCAGTCAACAATGCTAGTAATTCTGAGGGCACTGAACCCCCAATATTTTGATCGGCGAAACATCGCCACCGCTGCTTTCACCGAAATCGTGAAGCTTTTTCGGGTTGAGTGAGCGACACAGAAAGTGGGAACACATGTGTGCGCTCAAAAAAAAGAACTCTCTCTGCTGCTTCTCTGTGCACTTGAGTATCACACATATGTCGAAATAATGGGTTTCAATAAACAAGTCAAATATTCTGTTGTGAGTGGTCAGGTGCTGGTGCGAAAGTTTTCTGTTAAAAAAGCCGATCTGTATCCGTGCCTTGATCTTTTTTAAACAGTAAAATAGCAAAAACGCAGGGGACAGATTTCGGCTTTAAACCTGATGTGACTATAGTTACAGGATATTTGCATGTTGCACATAGCACAAATGTACCGATACCGACACCATGAGCCAGTTCCGTTTAGAGTTCCGGGTTGATCGTATTGAGTCACTTAGTCATCCAATTAAGCCGGTTTGCCGGCATGGGTTTAAGAAAGCCTCCATTTCTTTCACTCCTCACCCTTGAGCCACCTCACGCAGCTGTGCCACGCGTACGTTTGCAGCACCGTCAGTGCGAGTCGAAGTGGATGACACTGCGCCACAGACGTTTCAAGCGGAGCCCACAAAGTCTTCTTCTGAACATGTCGAAGTCTGTACCGGGCTCATGAGTTTCGCCGCGTTCAAGATCAAATGATCAGATTGGTGGCCATCCGGTTGGGCCGTCCAAAGGAACCCAGCCCTGAGTGCCTCCGCCGGGAGAGGATTCAACGATGAGTGACACACCGAATTAAAAGTAGCCGAACTCACTCAGCTTTCGCGCCTTGCAGTATGCAGGCCTGATCTGATTGACACGCTCTGTGCCTCAACTTGCTCTCCCCTGTTCTCGTCATATCCGCTGCGACACATCCGCAGATCCGAACCTTGCGTTTTCCTGCTGCAGAACAGTCAGCAGGCAAGACATATGCACCACAACAATCTTTTCTTTGACTTATGCATGGTAGTCCTGGCACGGGGAACTTCGTGTTCACCATAGGACTCTCGATGTCACACACGCACAGCATACACATGTTGCACACAAAGCACGCAGACCAACACAAAAGGCTGTCGGGATAAGGTTTTCTGAGACTGGTGCTAGATGGGTGAGACTGTGGCCAGGCAATCACACACCTCCGGTCGCACGTCTGTCTTGCATCAAACACAGCACTCCTTCAACTTCTAGCGGTAGTTGTCATCTTCCGAGCTGTCATCAGGCGATGACCTCGGACACACGTTGAGGTACGCAGTATGGTACACATTATTACACATTTGATCAAGACGCACGGTGCAGCACAGTCTCCAATCAAGATCAGCGAACCAAGGCCACTTCCGGAAAGGAATCCCCTTAGAATTCTCGAGACTGTCCAACCCCAGAGAATCACAGGGCTCTGATTTTCGATCCGTGCTGCAGGACACCTCGGCCAAAAATCAAAACCCGAACCTTGATCTTCGAATCACGAAGCTTGACACCCGGACCCGAAATCCATCTAACGAGTTTGATTTTCGAAGGTGTGGCGTGACGCCGAAGCCTGAGCTGCTAAAAGGTGAAAAACCTTAGCGTCAGCGGCGCTTCTTTCTTCCATCCCAAATGGCAGCTTGACCAATCGGCGGCGCTTGTGCCCATGTTTCAATCTGTTGGCACACTGGACATTTACTTCTGTCCAGTGGGCGCCAGCCACTTGTCAGAGGCTCTCACGGGCTTTAGCTGCTTCTTGCTCGCCGTGTTGAAATTGGCCCTTTTCGGATTTCTCTCGGTGCCGCTGCCCTTAGCTGGAAAGGAAGAAGGGGGCAAAAGGGTGGAAATCAGAAGACGAAACCTCGTCAAGTTGGCACCGCAGTTGAGGGTGTTCTGCGGATTGAGCTGGGTGCAACTAAGCCCTCAGCACGGTGTAAGACGATTCCCCAAGAGCGTCAACGGCAACACAGCCCTACATAATTTCAGTTCATGAGCCCTTGATGTTAGTTTAGTGATTAGAAGAATATAGTTAGACTTTCATAAAGGGTGGCTAAAGACAAATCATTTCCGAAGGCTGTTACGCAGGGCTATAATATGTGGAGGTGGTTAGGAAGAACCTGGTACGCATGCGTGCATGTGTCCAGGGTGTGTGTCTGGGCCGAATGGTGATCAATGCTTCCTCATCTGGACATTCAATGTGTGCATGTATGTATATGCTCCGGGATGTACTGTACTGCCAGCGTGTCGTTTTTATAGTCATGTATTTATTGTTGCATGTACGTGTGTATGAACATTGCTAAATACAAATCGAAGACGAGCATAAGACGGATTCTGGACCCCGTGACGCCTGAGCAGTCCGTCTGCTTCGAGCGTGCAGAACTCACCACCCGAGCTGGCTTCCTGACTCTGGAAGTCAAGGAGCTGCGTCCAATCAGTCTCCGACAGGAAAACGAATAGTGACAACAAAAACTTCCAAACATGCGAAAGTAACCACGTGAAACAACACAACGAAAACACCTACACTCGTACGAATAAGAGAGAGAGAGAGAGAGAGAGAGCGAGAGAGAGATAATATTATTGCAGTAGTATTACTTATTGTCGTCGTCGTCGTAGTCACGGTCGTTGAGCAATAGGAGTAGTAGTAGAAGTAGAAGTAGAAGTAGAAGTAGAAGTAGTAGTAGTAGTAGTAGTAGTAGTAGTAGTAGTAGTAGTAGTAGTAGTAGTAGTAGTAGTAGTAGTAGTAGTAACAGGAGAAGCAGTAGCAGTAATAACAGCCAGCAGGAGTAGTAGTAGAAGAAGGTGGTGGTAGTAGTAGTAGTAGTAGCCCAGCAAGAGCATCAGTAGCAGCAGCAGTAGGAGTAGCATTGACAGTCGGAGTAGGAGTTAGCAGCAGAAGTAGTAGCAGTAGTAGTTGTTGTTGTAGTACTTAGTAGCTAGTAGCTAGTAGCCAGTAGCCAGTGGCGAGTAGCTAGTAACAGCCAGTAGCCAGTGGCTAGTGGCTAGTGGGTAGAAGTAGCTAGTAGCTAGTAGCTTGTAGAGCAGTAGCAGTACGCAGCACGCCGTACATAGTACATAGTAGCACCAGAAGGCACCAAGTTGGTCGTATTGTCTGACGTCATTGTGAAGCTTCGGTGGTTTGGGGTTGCATTGTTCGATATATCGGGCCCAGGGCATTCGGAAGTTCAATCTCAGCTGCATATCGGATTCCAACTGCTAGACACCCCTCCTCAATCCGCGGCTTGCATCTCTGCCCATCTGCACATGTACGAAGAAAGGAAACCAATTGGTAGTGCCTGTGTCATGCCGGGGCCTTAATAATTAGAATAGGGTTTTTGGGGCGCATAAACCTATAAGTTATAATCATGAACCCCCAAAATAGTATTGGTAAGACCTTAGGCCACTATATGATGTTCGTCTCCTGAGCTGACTTCAGGAGGAGCCAAGCTTCGCTCAGCATGAGGTCAATGGTCACCAAGGAGCCGGTGTCCCGATGGTGATGGTCGGCGAGGCCTGAGGTCATCCATGGCAAAGGTGGCTCCAATCAGCAAGGCGAAACGAAGGGAGAGAGTGAGAGAGAGAGAGAGAGATAGATAGATAGATACATAGATAGAGCGAGCGAGAAACAGTAAGAAACACAGAATTAACAACTGAGAAAGCAGAAAGAAACAGAGAGGAAAAGGAAGAAAGACAGAAAGCAAAAGGAAGGGGAAAGCAAAAGGAAGGGGAGAAAAGGCTCCGCCTCCGCCATTCAGGTACTCGTGGTGCTCAATGCACCTCAGGTTGCCCACCCCGGCACCCGTAACGACGCCTTATAGAGACCTCGTAGATAAGAGCCCGAACAACAACCCTTCCAAAGCCCTAGGACCTTACAGAATCCGTATAGAACCCTGGCGAAACCCTCATAGAACTCTCATAAACCCCCCTGAAACGCCCCTTAAAGAATCTAGATCTTAAAAAGCCCCTAGCTTGAAAATCCTGATATGATGCGCCTCAGGTTGCCCTCTTCCACCGGCATGGACCAGCCCTCCTCGCAGTTCACCTTGGCCGCCAGCGCGCGGATCCTCCGGCAAAGATTGGGGTTTCAGGGTTTGGGGCTTTACGGCTTCAGAGTGTAGAGGGTAGGGTTTAGGAGGGATTTCGCCCCAAACCCAAGTTCCCAAAACAGCACAGAAGCTCATCAAAAACAAGGCCAACGCATCAGAATCTCATCCCTCCTTCCTTGGTGTCCCCCTCCCGCTCCTGCTAACTAACTCCGGCTCCCTTTTCTGGAACTCGCCGTTCGTGTGCAAGAAGGTGGTGGTCCACCTCGAAGCAGCCCTCATTAGGCCCTCCCCTTGAGGGACAGGGCCTTAAGAAGTTGAACTTAACAGGATCTATGAATAGAGTTTAGCTATTGGGGGCTTAGAGACCCCAAAAGAACTCAGCGGATTCAGGTCCTAAACCCTCTCAAACCTCAGTTTGCAGGGCTTTACTGGAAACCTCCACAGTTTAGTTAGGTTCGGATTTTACTGGAACCCTTAACCTTTGGGGCTTTGGGCCAGGGCACGATGCGCCCACCGTTGACCGGAGTTCGCCTCGTCTGGTTTTGGCCTGAAGACCGCAGACGGCTCCTCAGATCAGGCCCCTTAAAAACGACACGAGCTCATACAGGGGCCTTAATAGTTAGAATAGGGTTCCTGTAGAGGGGTCTATAGGGGCTACTATACGGGTTCTATCATATGAGGGCCTCAAGAATTAGAAGAGTGTTTTAAAGGTTTGGGGCCCATAATTAATACCATAATTACAAAAAGGCGCCCCAAAAATAGCAATTATTCGCAATTCTTTAGGGCCGTACATTCAACCAGAGCCGCAAAACCCTCAGCCTAAACTCGTTACCCTCGAAGCCTGATCCCCTAAGCCTAGAACCCTCACCTCCGCTGAAGTCCGCCCTCTAATGGTGCTCCGAGCCGCTCATCTCCAGCACTACTCTCTCCAGGTGCTGCACCTTTTCATGGCAAAAGGGCAGGGCCAAGGGAGATAACCGGTCGCCAGTTGCTTGGACAGCTTTGGGTTTTGGGCCAAGGATTCTTCGGTCCCTCACAGGAAGGTTGGGTCAGAACTCCAGAGCTCAAGGTTTCAGCTCGTTTGAAGCAAGCTTTCCGATGTCTCTGAAACGTCGTCGTAAGACTCCGCACGTAATTCTTGCTACACTCAGACGGCATCCCCAAGCTGATCCACCCTCCTCCTATCCCAAAGTCCTGCATCGGCACCCAATCAAATCCCCCAAACCCCGACACCCCCTACTCTACCTGGCCATAATATCCTGGACCAAAGTGGAAGTTAACACCCTGATGACGGCGGATCCAGACCTTCGTCATTAAGCACAAGGCCCAAACCGGAGAGCGAGAGATAACGACAACCTTCGTCGTAAACCCTATAGACACCCCCACATTCCTGGCAGCCCGAAAGGGCCCGAAAACTGTTTTAACATAAATACAATAAGCACTCCAAACCCCAAACCCTGAACTCGATATCACTGCTTTTGATTGAAGACACTAACACACACTCAAACCGAGCCTCTATACCGGCTGCTTTTACTTATAGATAGTAGAAATGCGGGGCCTGAACCCACAACTCCGGATCAGCCCCTAATATAGGAGAACAGGGTCTTGGGGTACATTATACTACTTACTACAACTATAACAAGAAACTCCCCCCCCCCCCCAGAAGAGCTTTATACTTATTTTGGCCCCTGCAATGAACTACAACCCCAATCCCCAAACTCGAAACCCCTAAAGACTAAACCCCTGAACCCTAACCCCTACCTAAATCCTAAACCCAGCTTACTAAACCCGAACCCCAAAGCCAGGAGGGTCACGGCCTCTTCCTCGGAGAGGAAGTTGGGAATGCGCCGTGCTTTCGCTGCCTGGGCCTGCGGCGAGAGGGCCGTTTAGTAAAGATTGCTTTTCAAAAAAATATCCGAGAGCCTTTTGAATTCAGGGTGTTTTGGGGTTCAGGGCTTTGGTGTTCAGGGCTGGGGGTTTTTGGTTCCGGGTTTAGGGGTTCAGGATAGGAAGACGACTGTAGTCTCCGCCAGGGGTCAAGGACTTCAACAAATCCACGCGATCCGCATGATCACCATGTTCAGTGTTATTGCCCTTGGCCCGGTCGTTGCTTCATGACTCTTTCGTGAACCACAAAAAATTACGAGATTCGTACGTTTCGTGCTGAGATTCCCGGTGCTTTACCTGGTAGCTGTAGCTGAGGATAACTTGAGGACAGTTAAGCATGTGAACGGTGTCTTGCTTCTGTTCTCATCCATCCCAGATGGCCTGCAGGCCAACCCTGCACTCTGACCTTCTCGAAGGGCATGGTGCCCCGCCCGATCGCCACGGCAGGAAGCTGCGTGGCAGCCGGGCGCAGAGTTACTTCAAACTGGCGGGATGACGAATTGAGGATTCGGGCATAGAGTATTATCTAATGTAGGAAATGGGAAGGCGTGAAAGGTTAGGGTGCAGAGTTCAGGCTGAGATGAACAGGATTTAGGGTTGTGATTGGGGTGGTAGGATCCGGCGCTTGGGCTTCGAGTTTGAAGTTCAAGCGAATGCTGAGGCATTGCGGGCTGGAGACTTCGCAAGAAGCTCCATATCAGGGGTTTATGAGTCCGTTTGAGAACCTTTTTCCAACAACCAGAGCCGCAATCTCCCAAAGTCAGACTTGGTTTTAGCGCTTTTTCCTGGCCAGAGGCAAAGGCAGGGTTCAGGGTTTTCGGAGCTGCAGATGTGGGCTACAAACAAAGCCTCAACCTCGAACCGACACAGGGCTCTGATCTACAGAGCAATGCGACAGCGAAGGAGAACCAGACGAGAACGGAGAAGTTACAAGAAACACCACCAAATCTTCATGCAGTAGAGCCACAAACCCAAAATCCGAAAACCCTGAAACCCTCAAAACTCAACCAATGACAAAGGGTATATGGGGATTTCCCTTCCCCGGGTCCTCCTCGAAGCGACTGCGCTGCCCTTCCTCCACCATGCCTGGGTCATGGTCTCTTCCCTATACTGAACTTAGAACCCTAGCAAAAATTACAATTTTAGCTGTTTCCCAGGGATTATAATAACCAAAAAATAAAAATTATTTCAAAGTACCCCTCAGTTCCTATGCCCTCAGCGGGGGTGTGCATGCAGGCTGCGGGTTCGGGTTCTGGGTTTTATTTGGAACTAATTTTTGAGGTTCAAGGTGTCCCTCCCCATTTTGGTCTTTATCTGTACTCTTTGGGCGGAATCTTACTTCAGACCATGCTGCCCCCCAAACCCCTACTACCGTCCTAGAGGTCTCAACAGAAACCCTTAACACTAAGAGCTGAGCCCTCAAACCCTTACCCCAAATGCAGGGGCCTTTTCAATTAGAATAGTACGGTGCTGGGGCCAGTGTTACTACAAATATAGCAATGGAGCCCCCGAAATAGTAGTGGTAAGTGTTACGCCCCTATAGTACCACCCTCCTAAACCCTAAACCCTTGTTTAGGCCCTTATAGTACCACCCTCCGAATGGTTCAGCTGAGATGCCCCCCATCAACTCAAAGGGATCCCAGTCACCCTCATTGGATTGGACCATGGCTTTTTGTGCGCCCCGGAAAACCTCTGGTAGGAGAGGCCGGGCAAGCAGCGTCAGGGCTTCTTGGCTAACTGGCAAAGTTTAGGGTCTGGGGGTTTCGGGTTACCGTTTTGGGTTTGGGGTCAACGGTCTACGCCATGAACATCTCACCTTGAACCTGGGCTTGCAAATTCCCAGCTGCCTGACCGAGATTCGGCCACCATCTCACGGTTCTGCAAACAAACTGCTGCGGCGACAAAATTAGCTGACTCAGCGAATATATCGTGCAACTTATCAACATATGTACTATGTACAAGTACGGCAATGCATTCACGTGTTATAAAACAGATAGCCACGTATTTGCGCAATGAGGGCTCGATAATTACAAAGTGCACCCAAAATACACCTTCGAAATACGTACCGCTGTCCGAAATCAAGCAGCACTGGTCCTCTGGTGAATTTGTGTACAGGGTGATGTCGAGTGTCTCTGCGACAAAGCCTGGCCGGATATCCCTCGCGCCTGGGAGTCTCGCTTGCGAGGAGGTCGCATGCGACCTCAGGGGCAGCGGGAGAGACGACGTCGCACGGATGCGGCGGGGAAGGGATGTTTTGGACAGGATTTCTGAGAGATGCATCTATCACTCTCAGGTCAAGGCCAGAAGATTCAGCATGCACTTCCTGACGCAAGACAAAACCGGTACAGTACGTCCAGAAATTGCGATCGACATCTCTTGGCGGAAAGCGCTAGCATACAGTCATACAGTATAGTATGGCGAGGTGTACAGCATGTTGGACTATAGCACTGGCAGAGCACAGTGCACACAAGACAGTCTCGATGATGCCCGCTCCCAAGGCCTCCTCCGCCAGCTCGCCTGTCTCGCCTTTCAGGGCTCTAGGACTTCGGGTTTGAAGCCTGTACTTTGGGGGCGCTGACGGTAATTTGTGAGATTGCACACTAGCTAGCTGTGCAGTCGTACTGCAGCAGCACTTGAGAGTGCCACCGCCACCCTCATCATTATCATCATCATGATGACCACTGCCGTCACCACGATCACCAGCAACAATGACAAACGCAGTAACTTCACTGCCATCACCACTTCACTCGCGGCAGGAATGTCACTCCCGTCCTGCGGGGGCCAATCAGCCATCTCTGACGGTCTGTTGTCGTCATCACCATCACCATCACGTCACCATCTTCATAATCATAGTCGTCGTCATGACTACAATCACACTCGTGACCGCGGGCATCATCACAACAGGCGGAGTGGTCTCAATCACAACCGCTATCCTTATTGACATCATCATCCCCTCACGGTCATCATCGTCATCGCTATTGGCATCATTCCCACCTTCATCACCAACCTCATCGGAAACCAACTGACAGTCATGGCGGCGCTAGCGCAGTTTCCCTCTGGCTTTTGGTAGCTTAGTAGCATTTAGTCGTGCGATGTTACTTCAATGACTAGCCAAGAAGGTGCTTGTTTCTTTGGACTCGACTATACTATTAGTTTGTATTTTCACGATGATCATTACTCGCCACTGTTGACACAATACTGCAACAGCATGACCTCTTAGATTCATAGCCGCGCGTAAGGCGTTCTGATACATTGTGGGCTCGTCTTATGCCCGGCCTTCGGCATCTGCCTCGGGCGCATCCGAAGATCCGGCAGCTTCTGCTGGGCCTGGAAGTTGATGAAAACAATCCCCGGTTTGGGATTGCAGATTCGCCCTTCGTCATCACAGCAATCTCACCACTGTTGTAGACACTTGACTGTTCTTGTGATTGATGTTGCTCTTCCTGGGTGCCGTTGCTCAGTCATCCCTCACGCGCTGCATCTGGAAGTGGGGATGAAACCTCTACTACGGTCTTCAAAGAAGGCTCCAGCGTACTCGCACGTCAGTACCTCCACTGTTAGATTCGGAAGTTGAAGGTTTAGGCTCACTCGCCAAAAGCTGCAAAGACTTTCGAAGTCTCTGAAACAGATGATGATGTAGACTAGTTGTACCACGTTGTGGTGACGCAAGTGATACAGGCGGTACACCAACATATCCAACATACATGCATGGAACTACATGCTACATATATACGAAAACGCTGATGCATGTGCACATACTTAAGAAACGCGTGCGACGGTAGCCACAGTTTGTGTTCTCCTGCTGTGCGTCTCAGGATACTCTCTGCGCATACTAGACACGCAAATCTGCACGCACGTGCGCACACCCACATACAGCTGGCACGAGTGCTCCTGTGCGCATGTATGTAAGTGGTACGTGTTTGTGTACATAATATGCTTGTGAACGTACATACACACACTGACACAGAAACCTATGTCATGGCTACAAACTATGCCTGGACAGACATTGCCTGCCTATGATGAG